CAGACGACCTTGGCTGGCCAATCACCACTATAGGATAGTTGCTGACACCATGAACTTTTGATGAGTTTGTGTCAGGTAATCTACTTGGGTATGTCTAGCTTAATGAAGAGAAGGACGAAGGAGGACATGATAGCAGTGTTCCAATATCTCAGGGGCTGCCCCAAAGAAGAGGGAGTCAAGCTATTCTCCAAAGCATCTGAAGGCAGGACAAGAAGCAACGGATGGAAACTCATCAAGGAGAGAAGCAACCTAGAACTAAGGAGAAACTTCCTGACAATTAGAACAATTAGCCAGTGGAACAACCTGCCTCCAGAAGCTGTGGATGCTCCAATACTTGAAGTTTTTAAGAAGAGACTGGACAGCCATTTGTCTGAAATGGTATAGGGTTACCTGCCTGAGCAGGGGGTTGGACTTGATGACCTCCAAGGTCCCTTCCAACTTTATTATTATTATGGATCATTGCACAGTCAGCCAGATGTTCAGACTGGATTTGGCATTTTGTCTACCTATCGAGTCCTTACCCAGGACCTGGGATAGGCAGATGTGGATGTTTGATGGTATTACAGGTATCGTCACAGGATGGAAGCAGTTCCTAGTAAGGCCGCCTTTTGCAATTGACTAATGGCAAATTTGTCAATGCCAGTGATGGTGTCCAAGTGGTGCTCCAGTTGTTTTGGGATTGCACCCAAGGCGCCTATGACTATTGGTACTACCCTTGCTTGTTTTTCCCATAGTCTTTCTATTTCTATTTGTAGGTATTATTATTATTATTACTGTGATTAATGTACGACTGTGTCTCATGATTGGCCCGTATACATTAAGCAGAACCCGTGTATGTTACCTCCTTTACACATGTGTTTTTATTCTCCAGTGCTGGTTGTCCACCAGTTATGTGAGACTATATAAGTCCCACCAATTAATAACCCCTAAATTTGTCTGGCAGGAGAAAAAAAAAAACCTCTGTGATCTGCAGATGTCAAACAAGCGAAGACACACACACACACACACACACACACACCAGAAAATGCGAAAAGATGAACTCAAGGCGTCTCCAAGCCCACATGGGCCTTCCCTGTTCCAAAACTGCACTGTAGCATTGCACCAAACAATTCTGTGGCCGGAGATAGCTTGAAAGACCCATCTTGAAATCTACAAGCTGACTTCGGAAACGGACAGGATGAATTCCTGCTTTGGGGATCTAGGGGAGGGGGGGGGAATGAAGGAATTGTGAGTCAGGCAAGGCCGGATGGGAAGGGAGGCCTATGGGGGATGTTCTCTTGGAAGCAGATTTCGGCCACCCCACCCTACCGCACCCCACCCCCCAAGTCCCCTGTGTGCTATTAAAGACTCTGATTCAGAAGGAGCACGTACTCCGCTCTGCCCTTGGCGTCCGTCTGGCCTTTCCGAAATAAAGTAGGTCAATTGGGCAGGGAAGCCAGCTGCCATGGAAGAAGGGAAAACCTCTCCGGATTCTAATCGGACCCAAACTGGAACAATGCAGGAGAAACTCTGAGCAGATGGCGAGTGCCCTCTTTTAATGGCTAACCCGCCAACCTTTAATCGGAGTCGCCATAATGGGGTTGGCATTTGCGGGGCTCCGGGCTTCGGATCGGGCAAGCTGCAAATATGCCACAAGATAAAATATCTTCGTCCGGGAGCTCTTCCCTCTCTGGGTTAAAGGAAGGACTGGCCTCCCCAAGTGGAGACTTTGGGGGGTTGCCGCCACCATCTCCGGTGGCTGGTGGGGGGCATCTCCGTCCTCCTCCTGGGCAGCCCCCAGGGAAATGTCTCTTTGGGATCGGCAGACGGCAGGGTTGCTGGTGCTGGGAAGGGTAGCACAAAAGCCGCCACGGCCTCTTGGGAGAGAGAGGGGGAGAGAGAGGGAGAGGGGGAGAGGGAGGGAGAGAAAGAGAGAGAGGGGGAGAGAGAGAGGGAGGGAGAGGGAGAGGGGGAGAAAGGGAGAGGAGAAAAAGAGAGAGGGAAAGCGAGAGGGGGAGAGAGGGAGGGAGGGAGGGAGAGGGGGGGAGAGAGAGAGGGCGGGAGAGAGGGGGGAGAGAGAGGGGGGGAGAGAGAGAAGGAGGGAGAGGGAGAGGGGGGGGAGAGGGGAGAAAGGGAGAGGAGAGAAAGAGAGGGAAAGCGAGGGAGGGGGAGAGAGAGGGAGGGAGAGAGAGGGAGGGAGAGAGAGGAGAGAGAGGGAGGGGGGAGAGAGAGGGGGAGAGTAGAGAGAGGGAGGGAGGGAGAGAGGGAGAAAGAGGGAGAAAGGGAGAGGAGAGAAAGAGAGGGAAAGCAAGAGAGGGGGAGAGAGGGAGGGGTGAGAGAGGGGGGAGAGAGGGAGGAGAGAGGGGGGAGAGAGGGGGGGAGAGAGAGAGGGAGAGGGAGGGAGGGAGAGAGAGGGAGAAGGAGAGAGAGGGAGAGGGGGAGAGGGAGAAAGGGAGAGGAGAGAAAGAGGGAAAGCGAGGGAGGGGGAGAGAGAGGGAGGGAGAGAGAGGAGAGAGAGGGAGGGAGGGGGAGAAAGAGGGGGAGAGAAGGGAAGCAAGAGAAGGGGAGAGTAGAGAGAGGGAGGGAGGGAGGGAGAAAGGGAGAGGGAGGGAAGGGAGAGGGAAAGCGAGAGAGGGCGAAGGAGGGAGAGAGGTAGAGAGAGGGAGGGGAGAGGGGGAGAGAGAGAAAGAGCAGTCTGCACTTTCCTCCCTGCAGAGTCACTTGTGGGGGGCCTCTTTCCTTGGGGAGGGGTCCCCATAAGCAGACCCACCTGGGCCTGGGGCAGAATATCCAGCAGGAGGGATTCACCATGCCAAAATATTCCCCCCCCCTTGGCAAAGTCTCGCTTGTTCTTAAAGGCAGAAGCCCTGCTCCTCGCCCCCCCCCCACACACACACCCCCCACACCCCCCCCCCAAAGCACCAGGATGGCAACGAATCCTCAAACACCCAAACCTCCCCAAAAATGCCCTTCCCCCCCCCATAGCAAATCCAGGGTGGGCTTGTCAAGATAAAGTCAAGGGGGGTTATCCCCGCAGAAGCAGGCAGGTAGGTACAGGCTAAAAAAAAAAACCAGGGGTAACTCAACAATCCCCAATGCCACACCTCCCCAAAAGGTGCCTTCTCCCCCCCAATTCAGAAATCCTGGCTGGGGTTGTCAAAGGGAAGTCCGGGGAAAGGGAGGAGAAGCAGGCAGGTAGAGAAAAAAAAAAACGGGGTTCAAGAAGCCACACACCTCCCTGAAAAGTGCCTTCCCCCCCCCCAGCAAATCCAGGCTGGGAATGTCAAGGAAAATCAGGGAAAAAGGAGAGGGAGGGACTGGGAGGGAGGGGAGAGTCCCTACAGAAGCAGGCAGATAGAGGTAAAAAAAATGGGGTGCTCAAGAACCCCACACGCCCCCCCCCCCTCCAACCTCCTGAAAAGGTGCCGGCAAACCCAGACTGGGATTGTCAAGAGAAAGTCAGGAAAAAATAAAGGAGAGGGGAGGGGGCGGGTTATCCCTGCAGAAGCATGCAGGTATGGGGGGGTAGAAAACGGGGTGCTCAAGGACCCCCAAAGGTGCCATCAAAAAGAAAGAAGGGACAGGTGAGCAAGGGGGGGGGGTGTTTAATCCCTGCTTAAGAACACCTCCCCCAAAGGTGCCTGCAAATCCAGGCTGGGATTGTCCAGGGAAAGTCAGGGAAAAAGAAAGGAGAGGTGTGTGTGTGTGTGTGTGTGTGTGTGTGTGTGTGTGTGTGTGTGTGTGTGTTTAATCCCTGCAGAAGCAGGCAGGTATGGAGGGATGTAGGAAAAACGGGTACTCAAGAACCCTCCCAAAGGTGCCTGCAAATCCAGGCTGGGATTGTCCGGGGAAAGTTAGGTAAAAAGAAATGTGTGTGTGTGTGTGTGTGTGTGTGTGTGTGTGTGTGTGTGTGTGTGTGTGTGTGTTTAATCCCTGCAGAGGCAGGGAGGTATGGGGGGGGGGGGTTTATAGGAAAAACGAGTATTCAAGAAGCCCCCCCCCCAATGGTGCCTGCAAATCCAGGCTGGATTGTGGGGGGGGGGGAGTCAGGAAAAAAGAAAGGATGTGTGTGTGTGTGTGTGTGTGTGTGTAATCCCTGCAGAAACAGGCAGGTATGGGGGGGTTAGGAAAAACGGGGTACTCACGGACCCCCAAAGTTGCCATCAAACCCAGGCTGGGATCGTCCAGGGAAAGTCAGGGAGGGAAAAAAGAAAGGGGGGGGGTTTGATCCCTGCAGAAGCAGGCAGGTATGGGGGAGGGGGGTGTAGGAAAAACTGGGGTGTAGGAAAAATGGGGGTACTCAAGAACCCGCCCCCCAAAAGTGCCTGCAAACCCAGGCTGGGATCGTCCAGGGAAAGTCAGGAAAAAAGAAAGGAGGGGGGGGTTGATCCCTGCAGAAGCAGGCAGGTACGGGGGAGGGGGGGGTGTAGGAAAAACGGGGTACTCAAAGAACCCCCCCACCCCCCCCAAAAAAGGTGCCTGCAAACCCAGGCTGGGATCGTCCGGGGAAAATCAGGAGGGAAAAAAGGAGAGACAGGTGAGCAAGGGGGGGAAAAAGAAAGGAGAGGGGTGTGTGTATGTGTGAGTGTGTGTGTGTGTGTGTGTGTGTGTGTGTAATCCCTGCAGAAGCAGGCAGATATGGGGGAAGGGGGTGTAGGAAAAACGGGGGTACTCAAGAAAACCCCCCCCAAAAAAGTGCCTGCAAACCCAGGCTGGGATCGTCCAGGGAAAGTCAGGAAAAAAGAAAGGAGGGGGGGGAGGGGTTGATCCCTGCAGAAGCAGGCAGGTACGGGGGAGGGGGGGTAGGAAAAACGGGGGGTACTCAAGAACCCCCCCACCCACCCACCCCCCAAAAAAGGTGCCTGCAAACCCAGGCTGGGATCGTCCAGGGAAAATCAGGGGGAAAAGAAAGGCGAGACAGGTGAGCAAGGGGGGTGGGTGGGGGGTGTTTGATCCCTGCAGAAGCCGGCAGGTGAGAGGCGACCCCCCCCCAAAAAAAGCCCCCGGGGGGGGCTACTCACCCAAAAGACCAGGTTGAAGAGGAAGACCAGGTACTTCAGACAGCAGAGGCAGCCGCGGGCCATGCTGCACTTCTGGAACTCTAGGAGGAAGACGAAGGAGAGGTCCAGGTAAAAGACCAGGTATTTGCTGCTGCTGCTGCCGCCGCCGTCGCCTCGGGCCTCGTCCCTGGGCGGCCCGGCCCCCGCGGCTCCCGCCCGGGCCTGGCGGCGGGCTCCCCCGGCGCTGCCGTAGAAGGCGCCGGCGGTGAAGCCTCGGCCGAAGCGCTTGGCCGACGGCGGCGAGGCTCTGGCGAAGTCCGACTCCTTGCTCTCCAGCGACGGGCTCCGGCGGATGGACGAGCCCTCCTCGCTACTCGACTTCTCCATGCTGGGCGCCGGCGCGGGCGGGGGCGGCCTCGGGCATCGCCCGAAGCCCCGAACCGCCGCCGCTGCTGCTCGCCCCCCGCCCCGATTCACAGCCCGGCCCGCATCCTCCTCCGTCGCCTCAGCGCAGCGCGGGCTGCCTTTCCCCCGGCCGCGCTGGAGGCTGAGGCGGCATCCCGCGGGGGTCGCTCGCTCGCTCGCCTCGCGGGCAGCCCGGCGTGACGGGGCGCTTCGCTGCGGACGCCCCCTCCCCTGAGCCCGGGACTGGGAAGGGGAGGGAAGGGCCGGCCGGCCGAGAGGGAGCGTTCTTTATTTTTTGATTTTAATTTTATTTTGGTCCGGCCGCGAAGACCCCTCCCCCGCTGGTGCCGAGCCGCCGGCTCTCTGGCTGTCCGAGCGAGGGGCCCGCTCTTAAATCCTCTCCCTCGCCCCCCAAGCCCCGCCCCTTTCGCTCCCCGGGCGGCCAATGGCAAGGTGCCTTTCCTCCCAGGCAGGCAGGCAGGCCGGGCCGAGCCCCCTCCCCTCTCTAAAATATAAAAAAAAAAAATGACCCGAGGGCTTTAATAGGATTAGCGCTCCCGTTTTGCCTATGGAAGCGCGGGAGGGGAGGGGGGGGGTCGGGAAGCGCTTTGCGGCGGCTCGGCCGCGTAGGAGCGTGAGAGGGGACGGGGAGGGGGCAGGAGGAGAGAGGGGAGGGAGGGAGATGAGGAGGGGAGGGGCCGGGAGGGGAAGGGGCAGGAGTGGGGGAAGGAAAGGAGGGGTGGGGAGGGGGCAGGAGGGGAGGGGGGAAGAAGGGAGAGGAGAGGGCAGGAGGGGAGGGGGGAAGAAGGGAGGATGGGTGAGGAGGAAAGGAAGGGCAGGAGGGGAGGGGGGAGGAAGGGAATGAGGGGAGGGGCCAGGAGGGGAGGGGGGAGGAAAGGTGGAGGGGTGGGGAGGAGGGGAAGGGGCAGGAGCAGAGAGGAGGGAGATGAGGAGGAGAGGGGCCAGGAGGAGAGGAGGGGGAGGGGAAGGAAGGTAGGAGGGGGAGGAAGGGTAGAAGGGAGGGGCCAGAAGGAGGGGAAGGGGCAGGAGGGGAGGGAGAGGAAGGGAGGAGGGGAGGGGGCAGGAGGGGAGGGGGCAGGAGGAGAGGGGGAGGAAGGGAGGAGGGGAGGGGGCAGGAGGAGAGGGGGCAGGAGGGGAGGGGGCAGGAGGAGAGGGGACAGGAGGGGAGGGGGAGGAAGGGAGGAGGGGAGGGGGCAGGAGGGGAGGGGGAGGAGGGAGGAGGGGAGGGGCCAGGAGGGGAGGGGGAAGGGAGGAGAGATGGGGAGGAGGGGAGGGAGCAGGAGGGGAGGGGGGGATTCCTCCACTCTCATGAAGAATCACAAGTCTAAATCGGCCACCTGTGCCTGGATCCCCAACCAGCTTCCCCCCCCCCCCCTTAGGATGTGCAAGGGACTCGGTGGCTCAAATTCCTGGCAGCTGGCCAAGCAAATGGGGGGGGGAAGGGAAAGCCGGGTGATCACGCTGGGTCTGCAAGGCTGGGGGGGGGGGCTGGAGTCTCTCCAAATGGGCAGGCAAAGCTGCAAAGGGTCTAAAAAAGCACCCCCCCCCGTGTAAATACAGACGAGCAGAGCTGGGAGGGGCCTCGTAGGTCTCTCTAGCTATCTAGTCTGACCCTCTGCCCGAGCTGTAAAACGCACCGCAAAGACAGACTGCAAGGCAGTCCTCGGCTCACGACCTCAATCCAGACCAACATAAGCCAGATGGTTAAGAGGCTGTTGCCCCATTTTACGACCTTTCCCGCCACGGTTGTTACGTGAATCGCTGCAGTTGATAAGTCGGTAAGCCGGTTGTTAAGTGAATCTGGTTCCCCCCCCCTCGACTTTCCTGGTCAGAAGGTCACAAAAGAGGATCCCGTGACCCCCCCCGGGGGGACACTGCAAACCGTCGTAAATATGAGCCAGTTGCCAAGCGTCGGAATTTGGATGCCCTGACCCTGGAGATGCCGCAACGGTCGTTAACGGTGAAAAAGAACACTGTTGTACCTTTGAATGGTCACTAAAGGAATCGTCGTAAGTCGAGAACTACCTGTACAGAAGAACGGAGTGGAAGAGAGAGAGGTCCTCTAGTCCAACCCCTGCCCAAACCGTAACGATCCTGGCATAACCACATTCAGCGCTGGTCCCAAAGAAGCTTTTTCCAAAAAGCAACTGCGCTGTTTTGGTTTTTTCCCTCGAAAACGTTTTGCTTCTCGTCCACGAAAAATGAGAAACGAAACGTTTTCAAGGAAAAAAAAAATCAACAAAGTCCAGTTGCCTTTTGGAAAATGCTCCTTTGGAACAAATCATGGTTGGGGACACGTCACCTGGATGACGGAGAATCTCCGCAGACATTAAGCTGTGGTCTGTCGAAAAAGGGGGATCTGGCTTGTCCCTGGCATGGATTCCCGTTATTATGAATGACAGGGCATCTCTCAGACTCAACCAAGCTCACCTTTGGCTGTGGGAATAAAACTCTTTTGCGTTGGCCTGAGCTTACAGGATATTACAATTAGACTGAACGAAGAAGGCTCAAGATAGATGATAGATAGATGATAAGAGATAAATAGACAAGATAGATAGATAGATAGATAGATAGATAGATAGATAGATAGATAGATAGATAGATAGATAGATCAAAGATCTTCAAACTTGGCCCTGTTATGCCTTGTGGTTGCCTGTTCCTAACCCTACCTCACTGTGGTGTCCCCTTCTGCATTTCTGCAGACATATGCCTGTCGCAACTATCATTGATACGGTGGTATAGACCATCGTTCGTACGGTGGTATCATCCAGCCAATATTTTACCATGTTGTGCCAAAGAATATCCTGAGGCGCTCTGCAAAATGGGTTGCAGTGTTCTGCTTATTTAATAAGCTCGTAACTCTGTCAAACGAGGAGATACGATTAGTTTGGCACAAAATATTTGGCAAACCTAGCCCTAACTCTAGGCAAGGGGCTGTCGGTGTACCTATCCAACTGTTCATTAATACATTGATTGAGAAATTGGCACAGTACAGACATCAAGCTGATAGGTCTACAGCAGGGGTCTTCAAACTTGGCCCTTTTATGACTTGTGGACTTCAACTCCCAGAATTTGTGCCTGGCTGAGGAATTCTGGGAGTTGAAGTCCACAAGTCATAAAAGGGCCAAGTTTGAAGACCCCTGGGCTACAGTTTCCACTCCAGGAGGACTCAAAGATTACTTAAAGGTAGTTCTGTCGTCACTCTTTTAGTTCCTTCACTACTCTAGGATGCCATGCAACTGGCCTTACAAAAGTTGCTGTTGTTGTTATTGTTAATTGCGAAGTCATGTCTGACCCATCGCGACCCCATGGACAACGTTCCTCCAGGTCTTCCTGTCCTCTGCCATCTTCTGGAGTCCATTTAAGTTCACACCTACTGCTTCAGTGACTTCATCCAACCACCTCATTCCCTGTTGTCCCCTTCTTCTATTGCCCTCAATCTTTCCCAGCCTTAGGCTCTTCTCCAGTGAGTCCTTCCTTCTCGTTAGGTGGCCAACATTCTCTTACTCCATCCTCAAGTATCCTCAGCAGCAGGTCCAATTAACTAATCCAGAAGAGAACCAACCTAGAACTAAGGAGACATTTCCTGACAATGAGAACAATTAATCAGTGGAACGCCTGGCCTCCAGAAGTTGTGGGTGCTCCATCACTGGAGGTTTCTTTGTAGAAGAGATTGGACCACCATTTGTCTGAAAGAGCATAAGGTCTCCTGCTTGAGCAGGAGGTTGGTTTAGAAGACCAACTGCCTTAGGAACTTCTAAACTAGTTGATGGCAACCGACTTTCTACCTTTAAAGTCAATTCTGAAATCCCCAGTTATTCAAAACCGCAATACTCTTTTCTGCACAAGATGGAACGCACATTCTGCCATTATCCCTGGTGGATATGATCAATAGAGGAACTCAAAATATCGTCAAGGGTCCCAGAAGTGTATTTGCTATTTCTGAAGATGCTCCGCTGGGAAGTTCTACAATGAGACCTCAAGGGGAGCGACCCAATTGCATCCTGCCTTGTATTCTTCTAGAACAGTGGTTCTCAACCTGTGGGTCGGGACCCCATTTGGGGTCGAACGACCATTTCACGGGGGTCGCCAAACAACGCAGTCCGCCATTTTTTCCCCCTTTTCCTTAGCTGTGCTACTCCCTTTTATTCTATTGGCTTTTGAAAGCCAATAGAATAGACTCTCTTGAATAGAGTCTAATTCTATTGGCTTTCAAAAGCCAATAGGAATTGTCCAGGCTGTCTCTGCCCTGCTGAGCCTGCCAAAAGTCCCATTCTGCAAACGGTGCTGCACCAGTTGAGTAGTCCTCGACTTACGACCGGTTGGGGGTCACGGCATTAAAAAGGTTGAGAACCACTGTTCTAGACAGTAAGCACCTTCCCATTTTGATCCACTACTATGCAACTGACATCAACAATCCTAACCCAACTCCGCTGGAAGTTACTTTGTGATTTGGGGCAACTCGGCCATCTGTCAGCCTTACCAAGTAAAGCAAATAATAATAATAATAATAATAATAATACAATTGTCGATAAGAAAGACAAAAAAGTCTGGATAGTGGACGTGGCAGTGCCTGGAGATAGCAGAATAGAAGAGAAAGAACTGGAGAAGATAACAAAATACAAAGACCTACAAATAGAAATAGAAGGACTGTGGCAAAAGCAAGCAAGGGTAGTACCAATAGTAATAGGCTCCTTAGGTGCAATCCCAAAACAACTGGAGCACCACTTGAACACCATCATTGGCGTTGACAAACTCGCCATTAGTCAATTGCAAAAGGCAGCCTTATTAGGAACTGCTTCCATCCTGCGACGATATATGTAATACCATCAAACATCCACATCTGCCTATCCCAGGTCCTGGGTAAGGACTCGATAGGTAGACAAATCCAGTCTGAACATCTGGCTGACTGTGCAATGATCAATAATAATAATAATAAAGTTGGAAGGGACCTTGGAAGCCATCTAGCCCAACCCCCTGCTCAGGCAGGAAAGCCTATACCAGGGATCTTCAAACTTGGCCCTTTTAGGACTTGTGGACTTCAACTCCCAAAATTCCTCAGCCAGCGTGCACTCCTTCTTCTTTGGGGCAGCCCCTCAAACATTGGAAGACAGCTATCATGTCCCCCCTCGTCCTTCTCTTCATTAACCAGACACACCCCGACTGCTCTTTAGAAGGCCAGATCCTGAAGTTGAAACTCAAGTCCTTTGGCCACCTAATGAGAAGGAAGGACTCCCTGGAGAAGAACCTGATGCTGGGAAAGATGGAGGGCAAGAGAAGAAGGGGACAACAAAGAATGAGATGGCTGGCTGGAGTCCCTGAAGCAGTAG